TCAACAAATTTTTTTATTTGACTATAGTGAATTTAAAAAAGAATAATATATTTCGCAAGATTTATACACATAATTAAAACTAAGAACAAATAACGAGAAATTTTTTTTATTTTTTATTTTTGTAACTTCTTATCTAAAATCTTTAAATATATATTACCAAATTTTTAGATAAACATAGAAAAATCTCAAACATTGATTTATTTTAAATCCTAGTCTTTTGTTTTCAGAAATATTTTTTTTGTATACATTATCAAAACATATAAAATTTATAATTAAAATAATCAAATAAAGACTTTCTTGATTGTTTTAATTATTTTATTTTTCTAAATTCATATGTTTGTTATATTTTGATATATTGATAATTGAATTGCAATAAAAGAAAAGATTAATGAAAAATTGATGTTTACAAATAACTTAATTTTATTTTGGTATAAAGAACTATTTGTGAAAAGGATAAATTTAAAAAATCAATTAGAATGATTGGTGTGAGGTATGTTATTTAGCCCGACATTTGGAATCAATTAAAATCTAATAGGTGGCAAAACTTATATTTTCTTTGTAAGTGTTATATTGAGACTTGGAAAAGACTTATATTTCCTTTAAGTTTCTCTGTATTAAAAATATTTGTTTATGTTTAATTTTAGTTTATAAGTTAAAGGGCTTTTGACGTGTCTATTTTATTTCGTTACGTTCTTTTAAAATTGAGAGTTTTATTTGAGAAGCATTTTTTATATGTGCACCTTCTATTTGAGGAAGTTCTAGTTTAAATTTATTAGATTTCTTTATTAAAAATTAACTAAAAAAAACATTTTGAAATAAAGGGTATTATGTGACATCCTCTACCCCAACATTAATACACAATAAATGTAAACAATAATTTTTTTTTCTTTTTGAGTAAATAAAACCTTTCATAGTTTGATAACATCTTTCATGGATAAAACAATTGTCTCATAAGGTAGAAGATTCACATTCGTAACTCATAAATCATAAAAAGTTAACATGTAAGTATCAAAACTCAAGAGATCATATAAAGGAAAATATAAATTAATCCAGCAAAGGTGACAGTGTCTCTTAGTTAGGAATTAATTTATAACTTCCAAATCATGTAATAAAAATATGACAAAGATGCACATTTTGGTCTTTTATCAAGAACATTCAAAATTACAAAAGAAAAGAAAACTAAGGCTTTTAAAACAATAACATCCTAAATTAAGCCTAGCTATGCCTGATGTCACATCCTATCAGAGCATGCCCAACTGAAGTCTTAAGCCTCATCACCAACATCCTCATGATGATGATCACCTGCAACATAATTTAAACATATACAAGAACAACAAGGGAGTGAGAAACATTTCACTCAGTTTCAGGTGCAGAAATAAAGGTTAGATAGCACACACAACAACAAATATAAGTCACATGTAAACAATACACATACATAATCAATATCACATATATACTCATTTATCATGCAATGATGTCATGGACCCAACTCATAAATGCATGCATGTGGCGCTATACGAAAGTTTCACATTTCTCATAGCTTGTTACATCACTGGTGACCCTAAGGTACACCTTGTTAGCATGTTACGTCGTGGGTGACCGTACGGTACACCTTGTTAGCATGTTATGTCATGGGTGACCCTAAGGTATATCTTGTTAGCATGTTACATCGTGGGTGACCCTTACACCTAAAATATCTCATTACATCACTGGTATGCATCATAAGCGGCACATATGAAGTTATATGTGCATATGATGCATGTCATACATTCATTATTTCATTGACTCAACATTTGACTTATTACAGAATTTCATTTAGTACATCATGTCATCATTTTTCATATTCTCATAATCAAAGCTTGTCTCAATAGTCCATTCTTATGTCTCATGTCATTTGTGCATATTTCACATAGTCATGTCATAATTGTTCCTCATAAGGTCCGCACAGGAATCCACAGAGAGCATTCTTGTTCATATTAAAACTTATTTATTTTTTTAACATTAATTACATATCCATTTATTACTTCCAACAAGGAACAAAGTAGAGCAAACAAAAAATAAAAACAGAACACATTAATACTTTGCATGTTCATAGAAGCATGCAACAGGCAAGGGATTGGGGGCCAATCCGACAATCAGACTATCTAACAATTATTCCCACACCCTAAACGAGATTTCTCACTCCCCCCTTACCTGGATAAGCAGGAGCTGAAACTTGAGTAGGACCTTGCTAATCTCCTTTTCTGGATTCCCTCTTTCTTTCTCTTTCTCTTTCTCTCTCTCTCTCTCTCTCTCTCTCTCTAAGATCTTACCCTTTTCAGGTATAATTTTTTTTACCCCATGCCTCCTATTTAAAGGCATTCAAGGGTACCTGGAATGGCCTGTACTGAATCTGGAACGGCTCGTTCTGGACCCTTCGATTATATGTAAAATTTTCAACCAGAACGGCCCATTCTAAAATAAGAACGACCCGTTTTCAAAAATCAGAACGACCTGTTCTAAAATTAGAACGACCCGTTCTAGGGTTCCTTTTAACACAAATTAACCATAAGTGGAACGACCCGTTTCCAACTAAACTTTTTAGACATTTTTAGAATTTTGGAACGGCCCGTTTCACTTTGGGAACGACTTGTTCTGGAATAACCAAAATTGGCTTATTTACTAATTTGGAACGGCCCGTTCCACTTTTGGAACGACCCATTCTGCTACTTCAAAAATAGTTTTCTTTCATAGTTTGGAACGGCCTGTTCTACTCTTTGGAACAGTCCGTTCTGGCCTAAAAAAATAGAATTTTATATAAAAATTTTCATAAATAATTTAAATTATTACAAACCTTTACAATATTTTATAAAATCCCTTTAATTAACAAAAATAATTATAAGAAAATAATCTTCATAAATATAAAAATAAACAATAATTAATATTGTATTAGTAAAAAATTCGGGATGTTACATATTATGTGATAGGGTAAATTAAGTAGAGTGTAAAAATGACATGTAATATAGAGGACGATGTAACAATATATTTATGTAACTCAGACGATGTGACAATGATGATTGTGTAGCTCATGATTTTTTTAATTAATAGATTATCATTTTTATTTCTAAATATAATTCAATATTATTACTACGTTATTTTATTTTTGAATTTTGGATTGGATTTTTTATATAATATATTTTGATAACAAATTTGAAATTTAGAAACTATAATCAACTTTTACTAATAAATTTTATGTTTAAATACATTTTTGTCTCTTTTAAGTATCGAAATTATATGATTTTAGTCTTTAATTGAATAATTTTAATTTTTTAAGTATTATAGTTATGTAATTTTGATCTTTCAAATTTTAATTAAACAATTTTAATTGTTCAAATATCGTAATTATGTGATTTTAATCGTTCAAGTATTACAATTATAAATTTTTTGACCTACTTAAATTATATAAATTATTAATTTTAATAAAATATATATATATATATATATCATCTAATACATGAGTAAAAATTATAATATATGTAACTTAAATATGTTAAAAATTATATAATTAAGATATTTAAAAAAACTAAAATTATATCATTGAAATATATGAAAGACTTAAATTACTCGATTAAAATTTGGAGAACAAAATCACATAATTTGATACTTGAGACTAAAATTATTCTATTAGAATAATAAAGATCAATATCTCACAATTTTAATATTTGAGGATAAAATTACATCTAAATTCACTACAATAAAATAAACTTTTAGTGACATTTAATGTGACTTTTAGTGGCAATAAAAATTGCTGCAAAATCTTTTATCGGCATTTCACACATTAGCCATTGTATGCAGTGTCGCTAAAACATTTACCGACAATTATTCTATATATATGCTGGTAAAGATCCTCATAATGGTCGGGAAAAGTGTATAACTTTTTGTGTTATTTGTTACTGGCATTTAAAATTGCCGCTAAAAGTTTAAGAAAAGATTTATAATACTATTTAATTATCTTATTTTTAGTCGATGTATGACTTGTAAAATGAGTACAAATACTCTTTAGTTACCTTATTTCTAATTGATGTGGGACTTAGAAGATGAAGGTTATCTTCTAATTATATATTTTTTAATTTTTTTAATTATCTTATCTCCTAAATACCAACTTAGAATAGTAAGTTATAGACCTAACTCAACCTTATAAAACATACTTGTAAGGTGAGAGTTATTATTTACTTATATACTCTTTAAATTATTTTATTTCTAGTTGATATGGAACTTAAATTTTTCTAACAAATAATTGTCGCTAATAATAAATTTGGATGTGATTTAAATACATTTTTAGTGGCCATTATATAATAGTCATTAATATTTTTTTATTAAATAATAAAATAGAGATAATTAATTTATTATCATTAAATAATTGTCGGTAATACTAAATTTTGTTGTAGTGATTTTATATATAAAAAAAAAACTAACATAACGTAACCATACATGTTTGGATTAGAGTCTTTAACTTTTAAGTTTGAATGAAGTTCATTATCCAAGTTGGGTTTGGATAAAAACTTCCTCATTCAAATTAATTTGAAGATAAAAATTAAGGAAAAGAAAAAAAACTCAATTTACATAGTCATTGAACTAAACATATTCATTTCACACCCCTGACACGCACCCTTTCAGTTGAAACCAGGTATGATGCTTTTCGGTTTGTTAGTTCTCATTAGTTAGCTTTTCTGTATTTTCTAGTTTATCTCTCTCTATATATACTGGTAATTTTGTATTTTCTGCATGCGAGTTCTCTTTCTATTTTTCACACTGCAAGTTTCTTTTCTGTATCAGCTTCTCAAAATCCTTTCGCTTACTACATTGGGTCGTGGACATGGCACCCAAAAGTCCCAAACCCCGCACAGTTGAAGAGATCTTCAAA